CTCTTCTGACTCTTCTCACCTCTGCTTTTCAACTGTCCATATTGTCGGAAGTTTCACTTCTAAACTTCCTTCGATAACCATCATTAACCATCATTAGTCACTATTAGTCACCATGAATCATCCGAAATGGTTATATCCCAACGACTCCAAACGGATCTCGTTTTTCTGGTTCGTCCTTCGTTAGGAAACGGATGATTCGGTGGACGACTTTGCCACTGGGTGAAACCGGTGGGGTAGGGATTGGATCAACAAACAGCACCTGTTGATAATCACTAGGGGATGATGGTATGATACCAAAACTGGATGACATTTTGCTAGCCAAAATGGTATGATATATATATATGATATATATATATGATATATATATGATATATATATATATATGATATATATATATATATAATATAATATGTATGTATATATATATATATGATGATATATGATTATATATGATGATATATGATTGTCATCCTGGATGATATTTTACTAGCTTTAAAATGGTAATCAAACATGCTAGGTCGGTGGGACATCGGCCTTTTCAGATATGGAAGTTTTGGTCAGGAAAAGCTCGGAAGGAAATGGGGGATTTTCCAGTGTTATGTTTGATTACCGGAGGGTTTTGTTAAGTCAAGACTTAACAAACAGTCAGTGGATTAATGGAGGTCTGACCCACTGTCATTAACAAACATTATTAACATTTCTGGGTATGGGAACTAATCATGGAACTATCAATGTCTACTTCTACTGGATTTAAAACCAACACAGAACATTTTTTCTCCTGAGTGGGCATGGGTCAAAAGCATAGTCGGCCTGTTGCGGGCCAGAGACGATTGGCCCCATGGGGCTTACCCAATTATTCGTCACGCAGCCCTTTACTCATGGGTAGGGCCCCAAAAAACATATAGAACTATAGCACTGAATGCTGTTGCAAACAAACATAAACATCTCGAATGAGATCACGTAAGATGTACCTTACAGATATGCGGATCCTACACTGGCAAAAATGCGGTGGCCGAATCCATGGAGTTCTGCTGGTTTCTTGAAGATCCAAGGTCCATGTTTTCTTATTTTTTGCAAACGCCTTTTTTCCCGACTTCTGAAGTCTTCTATGAATACTGATAGCATCACTGTGAAGAACTTACAAACTGAGTTTTCCTTTCTCAGGACCACTATGCTCAGGACTTGCCAAGGCAGGGGGGCACATTCCCACGATGATTTTTGCAGATTCCCACGTTGATGCTGGGATGATTTGATATGATTTAGCTTTGTTGGTTTGTGGCTGCCGTCCTTAGTCAAGCAACATAGCTCTTAGTTTGTGATCTTCCCAGTCTTTGTTGGTGAAGGGGACTCATCCCTCTTTTTTGGCACCTACTTTCAGCCAAGTAGACAGGCAACTTGACAAATGCCAGGAAACCCTATTTCGGAAGGTCACGGATCCCAATTTTGAGGCCCAAAAAAAAAGGTTTTTTGCTTAGAGGGACCGGACCCCCTAGTTGTAGGTTGGTTTATATACAAGCCATCGAACTAGTTCCATTGATTCACCATAAGCCCGGCCCCCTATTCAGCCACATCAATCCTTATCTTTGTGGGGACAGTATAATCCTATAATCCGATAATCATGAGAGGAACAGAGATTACGGATATTCGGATATTCTATAATCATCCGGAATACAATCACAAGCATCCTATAATCTATAAGGATTATCTGGATCTCGGAGGTTCTAAAAATACAGTCCCCTTTCTTGTTGAACTCCCCCATGGTGCAGTCGCGCAGGCAGACCACCTCCTATGTGATGCATAAGATGAAGGCTGAGAGTACAAAGGCGACCCAAAACATCCGCGCCTGGAGATGATGCCCAAGCCTGGTTTGTTCATGTTTACACATAAGCCAACCTTCCAGAATGAGTCTCTGCCAAGGCTAGGAGTTGGTGAAACGTCATCCATGCTCTATCTGCACTGATTGTTGCTTCAACCTTTTGTTCAGCTGTTTTCATACAGAGCTTAGCAGGCTAGCATGTGGAGAATGTTGTAATGTGGAGAAATAATGTGAGCAAGGTGACATTACTTTGAATTGAAGTTGAATCGTTGGGACATGTTGGGACCTTTGAATCCGGTTTGATTTTGTTTTTGGGTTCTCTGCCCCCCTTGTTTGGTTTGGTAAATCTCATTCTGCATGCTTAAACTCCACTATGTGATGGTTCACAACTTATGATCCACTTATAAATTAGATATGGGGCACGCTCCAAAATATGTACTTATACTTGTTTAGATAAACAAGTACATGTATATGTACATACACACAACTATATATAGAATCGTAAATAAGTAAATAGATAGATAGATAGATAGGTAGGTAGGTAGGTAGATAGATAGATAAACAAATCGAAAAGAATACAGATAAACATGAAAATAACAGAACAAGAAACATAAATAACATATAACCACCTATGATTCCTAACCTCGGCGCGATCAGGCCAGCTTCAAACGCCCTCAGTGGTACATGTTGATCTTTGGAAACGTCCTGGCGATGATGGCTGGCATCATAGACGTTGGCCCCTCTGGCCCCAATGGCCCTGGGTTGTCCCATGGTTCACCACCAAAAATGCGGGAATTTCACCATGGGGATGGAGAAAGGGTGCCTTTCCGGCAGATCTTGAGATAGCCAAACGGCAGGGTTGAAAAAATGGGGAACCATCCCTCCGCTAGAAATCAGTTCGGTACATATTTGCTCCCTTGAACTTTTACTTTGCTTGTTTTTGTGGCTTTATTTTGAGGTCCCAATTGAAACCACATTGGGAATTTTTGGGTATTGGCCTTATTTGCCAAACATTTTACTGTACATGTATTTGCCCTATTTTCATCCGTACCCGAATATGTTCACATGGGATCATGAATGGGTTTTAATTTTAATAGTCCTAATTTGAGATGAAGCCACAAATTTCGTGGAGAGATGAAGAATTTAGCATCAACTGGTTTTTGCCACCTACAATTCGGAAAAAACATCCAGAATGTAGTGGCAACGTATGCCAACCACTGCAGTACTGGCCATTTGGGCCCGCAATGGTTCGGTCCATGCACGCGGGGCCTCAGCTCGCGACCCCCGACAGGGTGAGTCCATGGGATGGTTTATGATTGGATTTACCACAACCAATATAGGTAATCCATTATTTAATTGGATTATCCATTTATTATCATGGGTAAATCCATATTATTATGGTTTAACATGGGTAAATCCAATAATCCAATATGGATTTACCCATGACTAATGATTACAGTATTGGCTTTCCAATGGGTTTTTGACACTCACATGAGTGAAGAAACCCCAGAGGTGTTTCTCTAGGCCAATCTCCTAAGTTGGACAAGTCTTGGGCGGGCCCCAAAAATGAAGGATAGCCCAAACCCGTAAACCCCATTGGGTCCACCATCTAGATCACTCTCGTCCGCGCTGAGCCTCCATTCTGTCCTTCAGCGTGACCACCACGCATGTCACAGGCCGGGCCCAACTTGAGGCCTGTCTGCGTGAACAGACTTCGTAAATTACATATAAATTCTGGGGAAAATTCTTAATTTTCACCAACCAGTGATTATTAACCATCATTAACCATCATTAACCATCATGAAACCCCATACAATTCATGTTTGAGTCGTCTTAGGGTCAAATTCACATCATGGGGGATGATTTTTCACCAGGCAACACGGCCAAGATGGGGATGTACATCGGACATGACATGAACGAACAGATCGACTACAACAAGGCGCGCAAAAAAAAACGCCACAGGGTGAGTTGAAGTTCAGATTACAGTTATGGCAGTTATGGCCCAAAATACTAGTTATAAGTTAAAGAAGCACTTATAACTTATAGCCCCATTTATGGAATGTGTATATATATATAATCCCATTGAAATAATCAGTTAAAACTAATAGCCATGGCCATAACCGTAGAAATCACCTTTTGGATGAGATCAACTGTTACCAACATTTGTTCCATTCTTTGCGACCACGATAAATTTGTCGTTTTTCTAGGTGGGATGACCGACTGCGACAAGCGAGAAAGATGGGAATGCTGATGCAGTGGGTTTGAAGCGTATCCCCAATTTTGTGGGACATTGAACATACATGAACATACAATAATAGGCTTTGTTTGAAAATAGGCTATGCCCAAATCCACTGGCGAACCAATCATCATTTCCCATTTCCTACATTTTCCCTATTGTAATGATTATAAAGGTTAGTTGGGGGTAATAGCCCATTATCATCCACACCCAGCTCATATCAAGCTGATTATATCTCCATATATCTCCCATTGTCTCAGCATAATTTGCTAGTGAATTCCCCATGAATTTCATGGAATTCATGCACCATTTCAGCCAGGCCGTACAACTGGGATTGTGTGTGACCTCCTTTTGCTTCGGGTCCTTCTTGTGTGGCCTCATTATCCCCAAGACTCAGCTGCTGGGCTGATGTCTGGGCCGGGGGGGTTAGGTTTCATGGTTTAACCCTGTGAGATTTGACATGATTTAACTAGGAAACACGGGAAATCATTTGAGAGAATGGGGATGTATAACTAACGTGATATGGGACTTGGGTGTGAAAATGGGGAATGGCAATTTTCATAGGGAAAATGATGATTTTTAGCAGGTACCCTGTTTTCAGACTCATATGAATGGTGATGTTTATTTCACCTTGCTCACTAACTGCAGATTTTTGCTGTACCGTTTGCTGGGAGTGTGTCCCACAGCTGTCGGTGACGTGTCGCAGGGTGCACATTGGTGGCAAGGGGCTCTATGGCACTGCCCTGATCGCCGAAAGTAGCCTGGGCGGAGTGCGGGGAAGGATGGCAGATGGAGAATACTCCCATTGTTGATGAATCATCAAATTATCATCAAATTATCATCCATTATCCCTATTACAATCCCTCTTGTTGATGGTCAAATCCAAAAATGTTACCCTCTGGTAAACGTTTACATAACGAACTGGAAAATCCACTCATTTTTCTAGTGAACTTTCCCATGAAAAATGGGTGGATTTTCCATAGTTATGTTAGTTTACCAGAGGGTATCCTGTTATTGTCGTAATCCCATCCTTTGACCCCGGTATCATGGTGGGAGTCGCCAGGTGTCCTGCTGCTGGTCTGCTACTTTGATCCGGATCACCAGGCGAGCTGAGTAACCACCTGGAGGTTTCCATAAAGAGGAGATCCCCAAGAGCTGGTTGCTTTATGGATCATCTAGGGATAATGGATGATAGGAAAATCCAATCATTTTATGGAAAATCCAATCATAAAATGGATTATCTAGGGGTACCCGGCCTGGTAAACGTTTACATAGCGAACTGGAAAATCCACCCTAATTTTTCATGGGAAAATCAACTATTTCTATGGTCATTTTCAATAGCTATGTTAGTCATTACCAGAGGGTACCCCCTATGACTTAGGATACTTAGGAAAGCTCCATATGTGCAAAATGGTCAAAACTTGGTCAAAATGACCATGATTTGTCGGTGGGATGGGATGGTCATTCCCATTTTCCGTTGATCACCATGTAGCCATTTTCCATGTATTCCCAGGATGGATGACCACAATCCAGTACATGTTTAGACCATACATATGAAATACCACAGTTACAGTTAATGGTTGAGATCCCTATAGTTGGATTTAATCCATGAGGTGAGAGTTTTTGGGTGTAAGCCATCAACCTGGTGCGCATCCAATTTTTGGTCAAAAGATATCTAGCAACATTTACGATGGGGTCGACTTGTTCAATTAAAGCATATTGGTGCCAGGGGTATCTAACATATCTATACATATCTAAGATTATCTACTGTAAGTATCTGATAAGTTGATAAGCATCCAATTCATGAGATTTTCTTCCGGACGTTGATTGATTGGCAGCCACTGAGTCAAAGGTCTGTGAAGTTGTGTGTTTCATGGGATTAATGATCAACAATTGGACTAAACATTGGATCAATGGTTTATGGTCATCCATCCCATGTCTTCAAAGCATTTTGAGCATTTGGGACTGCTTTGAAGAACAGCACCAAAGGTCACAGGATGTCACAGGTATCTTCTCCGTCTCAATTTCTCGACCTCTGGCCGGCTCCCTTCATTGGGAGGGCCCCACACCACCGGTGTTCACCAAGGGTTCAGAAATTTGATACCCAAAAATAAAGTAAGTGCAAGGATTAGTAACCAAAACTCACCATCATTCGTTTTTTCTTTATCCATTCAAACGTTTTTTGGATCTTCGTTCGGGTTACTCGCTTTGGTTAAAATCGCTGATTTTCCGGGCCCCCCTTTGGTCGGTCCACCACAACCTCCACCTCCCATGACCGTTTCGCCATGGCCATGGCCATCGGATGCGCAGGCAGCACCCTACTGGGCAGCAATGGCCTCTGGCTTGCAGAACGCCATGTGTACCATGCACTTCGGTGCCGTCGTGCCTCGCTGGAACGATTAAATGATATGGGGATTGGTTGATGACCTCACTGCGACCGAAGCCTGGAAATCATGGTTTATATACGGGAAATCATCCCCAAATGGCCTAACTATTCAGGTTAGTGAATTATTATAATTTACCCAGATGAATTCATGACTTTTTAAATGAAGATGTCACCCTCTTTAGATATTTTTGGTGTTAAGTTGGTTTAACCTTTGTGATTTGATGTTCATGATTTCAGATTTCACCCATGGCAATGATGATTTATGGCTTAACTTGGTGAACTAGATGAACCATTAGTCCTTAGAAACGTGGTGCTTAGTCCTTTGTTGCACAGCTATATGATTTGACATATGGTCGGACAGCTCTTAGCTATTTTTCTCCTGGGAATTCAATCATTTTAAATATCAAACATGTAGGGATCGGTTGATGAATTGATGGTCGGCTGATTGTTATCACACTGGGATTTAATGGACATTTTTCACCTGCGAAAGAGATCGAAAGAGCTTCCCGACAAAGACATGAACACCATAGGAACATATATGGCATATATGGTTGATGGATGTTGATGGATCATGATAAGCATTTTATGGATTTTATGGGGATGTAATGAGGATATGATTGGGATAGAATGGGATATGTACGGTATACATACACATATATATATATATACGTATATATATACACATAATCACGATACTATCATACTGTCATGAACTAGGAATACCGTTTAACCAATCATCACAGTGTTTTGGGGATTGTCCGATAGGTGTTTGACACTGCATGGAAGAGAGCCTAGGGCTGAGCCAATGGTTTGTTTGATGCCAGTACGTGAATATAAGAGTTCCCAGATACCTATGGGATACACAGCACATACCATAACACATCTTGATATACCTAGGGAGCACCCATCTTCTGGTTGTTGAAGTCACTCCCTGTCTTTGAGTCAATTTGAATAAGGCAAGTTGCGGGGGCTGTAGTTTTGTTTAAGTCACCAACTTGGATTTGTGTCTTTTGCGTGTGCAAACCTGTATTCATGTATATATACATATATTTCATACACATGTATACACGTAGACCGATGCGTCCCTATATACATACCACCATCGTCAAACATCTTTGCCTCAAAATACCTGGGACTTCCCAAGAAAAGATTTTTGACATCATAGGCATAGGTCTTGCTAATCATCAATTGTAGGTATTGTTAATCATCAAATATAGATTTTGTTAATCATCAAGTGTCAGGTGTTAATCATCAAATATAGAGTTTGACCAACCCACAATTGACGATCAATCATCTTGTTAATCATAGATCTGGATTAGATGATTGATGATTAATCAATTATATAGATTTGTTACAATCAATTGTAGCTGCTAATCATCAAACATAGATCTGGATAAACCAAACCTCACCCAAGTCGCCAAATGTGAGGTTCGTACGACACACGTCACCGGATGCATTACGGACATCGGTTCTACCGCCGGGCGTGCGGCGATTCTGCTGGTGCGACGCTTCTGCCACAAGGAAGGATCAGGCGCGGCAGAGGATCATTCCACGGCGTGTAAGTGGTGAACCTAGCGGGGCTTAGTTCACCCATTTATGTTGAATTTTGGCTGGTTGAATCATGTTGAATTTCTATGTCGGCTGATAAAAATAGATATACTGGTTTGTGGTTTGGAACATTTGGATTATTTTTCCCATCATATTGGAAATGTCATCATCCCAACTGACGAAGTCCATCATTTTTCAGAGGGGTGGCGAAAAACCACCAACCAGATATAATTAACCAGATAATTAACCATTATGTAACCATCATTAACCATCATTAAACATCATTCACCACCAGTTTCAGTGATAAATTGGATAATCCACGAATCGGGGATTTACTAACCAGAGTTCCGTTCACCACTTCCGATTGGATGATCCTCCAAGTAGGGTGTGCATCCCCTGTGGCTACCAAGCATATCATCCCCAGAAAAAGTGACATAGCCGACATAGCTATGGAAATCACCATTTTGATTGGGAAAATCAACGAACTCAATAGCCCGTTTTCGCTGTTTTACATTGCCAGAGGGTAAGCCATTTATACATAGAATATCCCCCAGTTGTTGGGAAAACGACCGAGGATTGAAGCAACAAGACTTGTGAATTTGCCAAGAAAGGAGATATTTTTGCAACAATTATGGCTGAGAAATCATCCCATTGTGTGGGCATATGCAGTTTGTTGTTTTGGGGCTGGTACCAATGGCTGGAAGTTGTGATGTTCAGCTCACCCATTCTGGGCAAATCCTGACCACAAATGATGCTTGGCCGAGAAGATCGAATCCTCCATCCCGCGAATTGCAAGTAGGTTACATCCCTGGGTTTGTTAGTGGGATAGGTAGGCTTAATCCATTTGTGGGTGAACTCACCTCTCTACCAAGTAGGATGAACCACCAGGTAGGGTGCGCAGATCTGCAGGTATGCAGCTGCTGGATGAAGCAGAACTGCATGTGGACAAGCGGAAGTTGCTGGCAACCTGGCGGCAAGGCCAAGGAGTTTATGATCGTCGTTGACATCCGGATGAATTTGGACAGTGCAGTAGGAATGCGATAGGATGTAGTTGGATGATAGTCTGACTTGGTATAAGATGTACGTATGTATATCTATGTAGGTACATATTGATTGTATGTAGAAATCATGCAAGTATATATACACATGTATATGTACACACATATATATATATATGTATATATATATGTATAAATATATACACTGTATATATATACACTGTATCTATATGTATATATATACATATATATGTGTATATATATATATGTATATATATACAGTACATATTTATACAGTTATATATATACATATATATAAAACATACATAATATATATATAAAATATACATAATATATATATATGTATATATATATACGTAACTGATTGGTTGGTGTATGAGTCAACTGGACTCTGCCCATGTCATCCCATGGAAATCTTCATCCTGACCTGGGATGCTCAGAATCCTGTCATCAGCGGGTCCGACGTCGAGGTCTTGGTTCCCTTGTACGTCTTCTTTCTGGGGGGCTGCATTGTAGGCTGGAGATGGGATGGGGACGGGGATGGAGGGAATGTCGACTGAGTCATGGGGGACAGACACCCTTGATTTACCTATATCAAAGATGGTGATATTTTTCATAGCAAACTGTTAGTTTACCAGAGGCTACTTCTATCATGGATATGTTGATGTTGATGGTGTTGATGGGGAAAACGAAGGGCTTTTTTTTGGAACCGAGCGAACATCTTGGATTAGGACTGGGATGGGATTCACTGCATCGCTGCTTCAGTGGGGAGTATCATCGCTGAAACCAGAGGAAGGAGTTGTCATTGCGGACAACTGAATCACTATTTAAAACATGGATAAACATGAGTATTATTCCAAGTTTCGATCTGATAGCAGTTGAAAATGGCCCATTGACTTCGTTGATTTACCTATTAACAAATGGTTGTTTTCCATAGCAAAGTGTTAGTTTACCAGGCCGGATATGGCCCATCCCTCTGAATTCTCAACGAAACCGCTGATGCTTCGACGTTTGACCAGGCGCCTTATGTTTCCGCAGCATCGCCCACAACACCTTTCTGATCCCGGCCATTGTGACCGGGTTCATGGGCCTGGTCTACAGCACCCTGCGTGTCTGGGCAGCATCAGATAGGTTTGGTGGTTCATAAGCCACATAAAGCCATATATAACCCATATATACCCCACATATAACCCATATGTATCTGGGGATATTCCATATATAAATTTAAGGTATCACTCATTTACCCCAAGCATGTCCTTGCTCGTTGGATCATCAGAAAAAAACATCTCCGGAGGTTCTGGAAGGTTTAGATGTGGGCTTCATGGACTTTTTCCGGTACATGAACTAGCCAGGTTTTCGGGCACTGACCATCTCCACAAGTGGTTTTTTGCCGCATCGAAGCCATTGATCCAAGCGGGCCATCGGGGGATTTCATGGCGGCGATTCTTGGGTCCTGTGCTATGGTTGGATATCCCCTCCAGTGTTTGTCCCCAGATATGAAAATATCTCAACCTCCAACCCCAAGTTTCATGGGTTAGTCATCATACATCATGTTTCCAGGATGTGACAGATGATACTTACTTAATAGTTTCATATAATTTCCAGCTGCTTTTCCATCTATGACTTGGGTTGCTAGGGTTCCAAAAAAGAGAGAAACGTGCTTCCAGGATGTTATAGATGCTGTTTCCTCCCTAATTTGGGGTTGTGTTTAAAATATATAAATTTACCATAAATTGAATAGATACTCCATTTTTAGATGATGTTTCATTATTGATTTATAACATTTTATAACCATAGAATTCTTGATGATATTTCCTCCATGATTTTTCTTACCTTAAACGTTGAGAGGGGGGGGTAGGAATCGTCATTAGGTGAGACGCTGAAGACGACCTTTAAAAACATCGAGCAGACGCGCCTGGTCTCTGCTACTCGACCAGAACGAGTTCATGATTTTGGGATGAGATATGGTTAGTAGTGGTTAATAGTGTTTAATCATGGTTAATAGTGTTTAATCATGGTTAATAGTGTTTAATCATGGTTAATCGTGTTTAATCATGGTTAATAGTGCTTAATCATGGTTAATATTGTTTAATTTAATCATGGTTAATAGTGTTTAATCATGGTTAATAGTGGTTGATGGTGGTTACATATGGGGGTTTCCATACATGGTGGTACCCCAATAGCTGGATGGTTTATTTCATGGAAAATTCATTTATAAATGGATGATTTGGAGGTACCCCCATGACTCCATATGTATTGTGGAAGCGAATGTAAGGTATAGAATAAGTTTTTGTTAAAACCGAATCTCACCTACTTGCTTCCAATATATATATATATATACACATATGATTTTAGATGCTATACATATATATATATATGTTTGTTCTTTCCCTGTTTCTCCAATTTTTGGATCAGTTCAAGGGATCAGCATCCGTTGACCCAATATTTTTCAGACCCCCGTTCTTTTTGGTCCCAGTCATAGGTGTAAATCCACTATGAAACCATGGTTGATATTGGGTGTGTTCTATATGAGGGAAGGGGTTTGGTGATAGTCAACTCAAGAATTGGCTAGTGGGGATCTTTCATGATCTTTCAGCTACGCGAAGCACCATCTGATGGGACTCTTATTTCTGGGTTGGTCCAGAAATCGGAAAATCTATGGGGAAAGTGAGATTTTCAATGACAAGATTTGGGTTTTGCCAAGATTTTCAGTCAAACCAACCTTGGATCAGGCCTTGTTTCATAGGAATTTAACCCCCAAAGATGCCCCCCTTCAATAGTAAGGGTTTCTTAAGGGGCGAATCTAAAGCTATCATTGCAGGGTCACCATTGCTGGCGAAATCCCCATTTATTTGCATCAAATCCCATTCATCTTCCAATTTTTGATGGTAAAACCTGTCGATCTATATCGATCTACCATATTTTTTATTGGATTTCATGTATTATTACTGGGATTTAATGCATATTGATATCCCATTAAGTTATTTTTGATGGTAAAACCATCATATTTTTACCGTAAAACTTACTGGTGAAACCAGGAAATTTGTTGACGCAAGGACTTGGGTGAAGTGCACGATACATTGGATCGCACCTACCGCACGATCCGCAGGACCGGGCACGTGGCGGGCTTTCAAACGGGGATTGAAACGGGGATGGTCTGGGTCAAGATTGGATACTGTAACCCTAAATAGGATTGAATAGGTATGGCTCAAAAGTCCGGCTCTCGGATTGTACCCCAAGAAAAAAAACTGGATGATGCTGGTATTTTCCCAGAGTAATATGGTAATTTCCATAGGTTTTGAATGGTTTTGACCTGTAGCCATGGAATGAGTAACAGAAACGTACGACCAAAATCATTGGTTTGGCCTCAGAAATTTGACCCATCCTGAGGTTCTGCAAGTTGAGTTTGGAGGTTTCCTTACCAGCTCAGACTCATAAGATGAATCAGCATTTGTGTATCATGGATTTTTTTGCTGACCTGCCCCTTGGATTTAG